TACTTCCCGGAACTCGCCTTTTCGCTTCTATCGGCCACTTTACATTTGTTTACTACCGATGTTAGCCAACAAATGATACGTCCGGTAGCTCGTGTGATTAGAGCGTAGGGTTTGAGGTTTGTAGCTGGCATCCTTGTTCAAGGCCTTTCGTGCTGACCTGTAGTCACTAGCTCGCGTCGAAGTGATCTCCGCTGGAATCTCACGACTGCGGTTATCGACGTCTGCGAACAGCCACTCACGGATGCCGCAATGCTGGTCCTTAGCACGGTGACGAGTAGCAAGCCTGCACGCGTGAATTGCTCTCTCTGCCCACTAGCTTGACTGCTGTCAAACTGGCACTTGGACTCGGCTGGCCCTGCTGGCTGGTCGTGTGCTCCAAAGTCAAAACTCTTTCCATCGATTCTTCGTTCCTCTGTGTCCACAATATGCTGTTCCTAACACACTGGCTTTCCCAAGACTTCTCTCATCTACTAAGTAACCATGGTCTGAAGATCGCAGTTTCTAGGGTTTAACTTGCTTAACCCCCTGCCATAGACCCTCGTCTGACAGTTCGTTCGCACATGCCCTACACGACCAGAGCCCTTACAATGTACTGGGGTTTCACAAAAAAGTACTAGGAACCCCACATGTGTGAGTACCGTAGACATTTTATAAGGAAGAAAATACTGAGCCTGATTCTCAGTCCGCCTTATGCCCACTGCACCCGGATTCAAATCTGAGGTGAACCAGCAACCCGAGTATCAGTAGCTGATGACGACTATTAAAGCAATAATGGTAGTTTGAATGTCCCTGCTATTCTCTCGAGAATTTTACTCGGCATTATGCGATAGCCCAGTACCAGTATCGAAAATTGGCTGGCGCTTGTGCAAGGCTTACTGCGGCAAGAAGGGGGAAGCGTACGGCTTCTGGCAGCGGTTGCCACGTGCGCGGCGAAGAAAGGCAGGCAGCGTGAGTCAACAGCGGCAGGCTCCCACATAGGAACGCTAAAGCAAAACGCAAGTGTTTATTTGCGTCCTGCCATCAAGCAAGTCAGTGAGCACGACCACCATTCGATGGCTCTATATTTTTGAAGGTAATGGGCGGTGCTTTTATCGCAGGGGGTTAAGTGAGTTAAACCTAGCAACTGCGATCTTCAGACCATGGTTACTTGGTGGAAGAGAAGTCAGTGAAGGCCAAAGTAGTGGGAAGAGTATATTGTGTACAGAGGGGAAAGGAGAATAGATGGAGGAAGTCTGAT